GTAAAACTCTTGATAGGGTATTAAGGAAAAGATGGTGCGAAGGACATAATATTTCTTCATGGACAAAGATCTTGACTTTGACTCTGGAAGGGTGACGGGGAAGACAATTTCAGAAGTAAGCAGAAGTGTGATTATGGGCTCAAGTGTTTGTGGCAGTAAAGGGTGTTTGAGTGGGGGTAGAGAAGGAGAGCCCTTATCCTGCCATCCCACTGCATCCTGACAAGCAAGGGAAGAGTGTTCCTGGGGCTGCTGGATTGCACTAAACCCTCTTCCTCTTCAGGGTCCCTGTAATTAAAAAAATCACACCCTTTGCCCATTAACCAAACTTAGCAATACAGAATAAGAAGAGAATTAGGTAGAAAGCAAGGGTTAGAGTCAGGTGCCCTCAAAGCTTGCATTAGCTCGTCCTTGGGTGCATTTCGCAGAACTCATCTTATAACTGTCAATTTCTAAGCAGGCCCTCTTCTCCCTCCATTCAGGTGTCTTGTGTGTGAGCCACAGGACAGTAACTGTGCTGTTGGGAAGCTGCTCATTCTCTTTTGTAGATCTTCATTTCCTATTTTTGCCTGGTTCTCTGTAGAACCTGCTTCCACGAGCATAGGCTGAGTGACAACAATGGAGTCCAAGAGATGCAGTTGAAAGACCAAAGTGACAAGGCTTTAAAATAAAGTTTTATCAGGACAGTCATGCCCACTCATTACGTATTCTCTGGCTGCTTTCATGGTACCACAGCAGAGTTTGAGTAGTTGCAACAGAGACTGTATGGCATGCAAAGCTCAAAATATTTATGTTCTGGCCCTCTGCAACAGAGACTATGTGGCATGCAAAGCCTGAAATATTTATTTTCTGGCCCTTTGGAGAGTTTGCCAATCCTTGCTCTAGAGAGTTTTGTACTGGCATTTACATGCTAGTCTTAAGTAACTTATATCACTTCCACTCACAACTCACTGGCCAGAATGGTCACATGGCCCCACTTAACCATAGAGGGCCAGGAAATACATCCTACCATGTGCCCAAGAGGGGGATAATCAGAATATTTGACAAACAGCACTAATGGCCACCATAAGCACCTACTATGAGTTGAAATCAGTACCAGGTGCTAGGAATAGAAAGATGAACAAGACAAAATCTTTGATCTCAAGGAATTTAAGGAATGCCAGAATTTGGGGATTGGAGGGGGAAGGCTAAGTATAGATTCAAGTGTCCTTTCCTAGAAGATATAGACTGGCTTGTCTGAATTGCTTGAGATCTCAGCTTGGTGCTAGCCAGAACTGGGGACTGACCGGCTTGGCAAACAGTGGGGGCGACAGATCCTCCTGATGAACGTTTATATCAATAATAGAAGGCTTGTTTAACAGAAATTCTTAAAGGAAAGAGAAGATGATTTTATGTTTTGATATTCATAACACTGATTCTGTTAAAGCCAGAGCTCCACAGTGCATATTATTGCTGTTGTAATGTTGGCAAAGATGTGCTTCAAATTGGCAAAGTGTCTGAGAAGAGGAAATCATGTAAGGAGAGAGAGTGGGGTGGGTCAGGAAATGGAGGTGGGAGCCAGCTACTGGTGGCCTGGTGAGAGGTGGGAGGGCGGCCCTGTAGCCTTTGTCACAGAGAGACATGAGGGAGAGGAGGCTGCAGCCAGCAGAGCCTGAGAATTCTTGGAGTTGCTGGAGATGCTAAGGCCTGGAGAGGGAGTGGGAGCAGCACGGAAGGGGTGTGTGCGTGCATGTGGTGAGGGAGAGACATTTAAACATCGTAGGAATGAAGGATAAATTTAAAATCCCTCAAGGGGAGTTGAGACAGAATGACAACGTGAAGAACATGAATCACTCTTTCTAGGGACCCACCCTGCTGTTGGCATGATTTGGGATACATTTTCTCCTCCGTACCAAGCTCATTCTGGACCCTTTGTCTTCCTTCTTCCTGCTCCCTTGACCTGGCCTCGGTGGCCATGTACCTAGTGCTGGCTACCATGTCCTGGGAGCTTCAAGATCAAAAACATTGAGGCTGTAGGGTGTGGTGCCGGTAGGGTGAGGAAGACCAGTACAGACGTTAGAGATGGAGAAGGAGACAAAGAGAAGGTATCTTAGGGCTCTAGGGACACCCAGGGCTACTGAATGCTCCCATCAGGCTTTATCAGGTATGTGCTAAGATCATCCTCTCATCCAGCCTTTTTGTTTCTATTTGCTGTCTTAGCATAATGAGGAGGGGGGTGGGGGCTGGGAGAGGCATTTATGGATTCTGCTCCATGTGCTAGAGACATATGATTAATGTAGTGGAGAAAACCGTAAGCTAGGACTTGAAATCTGACTTCTCTCCCAGCTCTGCTTTTTATTGGCAGTGTGATCCTGGGCGGGGCTCTCTACCTTTCTGGATCTCAGCATCCATAAAATGATACGGTTAGAGCATTAAGATTTCTAACCATTGAAATAGTCTTTGTATTTGTGATTTGCAATTTGACTTGCAGTCCAGCCCAGGGAAGGGGTGGTGCCTGGAGGGTAGCGTCCGGGAGGATGCCACCCTGGGGGCCCTGCACAGCTCCCAACATGTAGTAGGGGCTCAACCATCCCACACTAGTTGAATGATCTGGAGGCCCGGGCTCCTCTGAGCACATAGAGCATGGCCTACTTCTTAGATGCCACTTTGTGGTCACTAAGACATGTGGTTGGGAGGAATTCCGGTTTGCGGCTCCTGGCTAGGAGGGAGACAATAAGCAGGTATCTTGAAAAGGTGGTAAGTTCAGGCTGTCTCAAGTCAGAAGGGCTGGTTCCCTGCCCCCGTCCCTGGACTCCATCCTTAGACTTACTATGGGGACTAGCGGTGTGTGGGTAACTTTTAAGTTTCTCATTAGGTTAAACCTTTGCTAATTGGAGCATGTCAAGGTCTGGTATGAGCCACCCACCTGGAATGCTGTGTTCACTTGGGCACGTCCATAAGGCGTGAAACAGGGAAACACCTCATTGGCTTTGGATTCAGCCTTTAGGGGTGTAGTAGTGGAGGAGCAGTGCACAAAGGAGGAGAGAGGAGTGACCAGCAGGGCAGGAGGAATCCTTGGTTTCCCTAAATCCTCCCTCACACACATGCTCTTCCTTTTTGCCCATACTCCTTTCCTGTTCCTCACCTGGCAAGCTCTGTTTAACCCAGCTCTAGGTCCTTTCCTTCACAAAGCCCTCCTGACCACCCCCAGCTGGGCTAGGTATCCCTCTTTTTTTTCTTTTTTGAGATCGAGTCTCATTCTGTCACCCAGGCTGGAGTGCAATGGTGTGATCTTGGCTCATTTCAACCTCTGTCCCCTGGGTTCAGGTGATTCTCCTGCCTTGCCTCCCGAGAGGCACACACCACCACACCTGGCTATTTTTTGTATTTTTTGTATTTCACCATATTGGCCAGGCTGGACTCGAACTCTTGACCTCAAGTGATCCACTTGCCTTGGCCTCCCAAAATGCTGGGATTACAGGCGTGAGCCACCGCGCCCAACCAGGTGCCCCTCACATGTGCTCCTCTAGCAATCAGGCCTGTGCCAATTACAGCACATCCTGTCATGGTCATAATCAGTGTTCTTCCTGTCTCTCCCATGAGGATGCTGTGGACTAAGTCCAGCTCCTGTTGTTGTGCCCACTGCATGGCACAGTGCCCAGCACATGGTAAGCCCTCAGTAAACACCGGTTCAATGTGTATGTCTTTCAGAGGCCAATGTGGCTGTATCCTCCTTGGCATGGAAAAGGAGAATGATGCCAAGGGGAGCAACAGGAGCACCTGAGTCACACGTGGCCCCCAGGTCCTGAGGCAGATACATGCATTAAAAAAGGAGGAAGGAGGCCGGGCATGGTGGCTCAAGCCTGTAATCCCAGCACTTTGGGAGGCTGAGGCGGGTGGATCACGAGGTCAAGAGATCGAGACCATCGTGGTCAACATGGTGAAACCCCGTCTCTACTAAAGATACAAAAATTAGCTGGGCATGGTGGCACGTGCCTGTAGTCCCAGCTACTCAGGAGGCTGAGGCGGGAGAATTGCTTGAACCCAGGAGGCGGAGGTTGCGGTGAGCCAAGATCGCGCCATTGCACTCCAGCCTGGGTAACAAGAGCAAAACTCCATCTCAAAAAACAAAAGGAGGAAGGAACCTGCAGACAGGACTCAGTTCTCAAGAAGAGCTCTCCGTAGGCTGGGCTCAGAGGCAATGCTTGTAATCCCAGTACTTTGGGTGGCTGAGTCAGGAGGATTGCTTGAGTCCAGGAGTTTGAGACCAGTCTAGGCAACATGGGGAGATGCCATCTCTACAAAAAATAAAAAAAAATATTGCTGGCTGTGGTGGCACGTGCCTGTGGTCCCAGCTACTTGGGAGGCTGAGAGAGGAGGATTGTCTGACCCTGGGAGGTTGATGCTGCAGTGAGCTATGATTGCGCCATTGAACTCCAGTCTGGGTGACAGATCGTACCTCAAAACGAATAAATAAAAAAACGCCCACCTTGAGGCTTGGTCCCCTGGGAGCACGTGCTTGGGAGGCAGGGCAGCAGGTGGTGGGTGGGAATTCCCTCAAAGGAGTTGGGCCCTGGGGAAAGGGTTAGAGGGATTCTTCCACCAAAAATGGGAGTGAACAGCCACCTAGCTATCTGAGGTGGGGCTGATATGCGCAGCCCTCAGGGTTCCCGTCTTTACTGTGGCCCCTGAAACCTTACCACTGGTGCATATCATTAGTTCTTTAACCTCTGTCTTCTACCTTAGACTGTGAAGTTTATGAGGGCAAGAATCCAGTCCACTTTGAGAAATTCTGGACACCTGGCGCCCAGCTTGGTCCACTACAGATGCTCCTGATTTCAACATCATTTATGGAGCTCCCCTGTGTGCGTTTGTGGGTCAGGCCTGGGATGTAGCACTGAGCAAATCTTGGCCTGGAGGGCAATGCCATTAACCTCTTTCTCTTCTCTATTTCCCTGTGACCTTGGCCCCATCCTCCCTCCTTCTCTTCCCCACTCCTTGTCTCTACCCTCCCCCTCCCACAGAGCAATGTTCTGTGATGCTGCCGGAGATGCGTGGACTGAGCTCAGACCGCAGGCTGCCCGAGCCCGCCCTCTGCCCGGCTGCAGGGAGCCCTGAGCCCGTGGCCGCGGGCCGCCGCCGACGCCACGTGCTGGCCCTGCCAGAGGAGGAGGCATGGCGGCCCCAGCAATGCACCCTGCTCGAGGCCGAGGCCTCAGAAGAGGTGGGCATGCTGCCAGCCTCCCCGCGTGCCGCCTCCGGCTTCGGCTTCGACAACTTCTTCCCGGTGCAGGAGGGCGAGGGCCCGGGCTGGGAGGGCGCTGTGGCGCTGGAGGCGGGCTCCAGCCCCTTCCTCCCGGTGAGCCCCGAGGTCATGAAGCGGCGGCGCGGGGGCCTCATCGAGCAGCGGGACATCATCAAGGCCCACGAGGCACACAAGATGCAGAGCACTCCGCAGGCCCGGCGGAAGGAATGGGAGTGAGTACCGTGGGGGCGCGGGTCGGAGGTGGCTGGGCCTCGGGTCGGGGTGGGGTCCTGGAACGGATGGGTCCTGTGGGGCGGGAGATGCTTTCGACTGTGCTGCAACTAACGAGGGGCTGGACCCTCTGGGTGACGTCCTCGTGGTCAGCCCCTGATCTCACCACCTGGCTGTAGGTCTCGTCCAGCCTCACGGAGGCCTTCAGCTGTCAGATGCGGGTGAATCAGGCTTGCCTCCAAGGCTCACTTGTTTTACTAACAGCCTGTGGATAAAGAACTGGGTCTGTTTCATTTTCTGAGCTTTCCTGAAGCCCACGGAGAACGCTTCGCCAGGTGGATCATCTTTCCTTCAGGAACCGCAGCTAACCCTGCTCTTTTAATATCCTCCTCGGGTAAATGATTACATTCTGGGGCCCTTCTCCAGTGGATGGAAGAAAATGACCAACATCTGGCTTTATTTCTGCTCTTTTTGTGTAGGGCAAAAGGCAGACTTTAATTCGCACCTGTTGCGAATTTTGGCTTTTTCTTCTTAGGAGTCCTAAAGGAAGATGGTATTTCATTTAATTCTTGATTGCGCCGGGTTTATGCTCCATAGCCGGACTGTTTTGTCCTGTGGATGCCAGAGTCTACTCTGCATGTTGGCATGTCCTATGGTCTGTATGTCTATCCCTTCTTGCTTTAGATTGTGGACTTGTTAGGTCATCACGTGCAAAGAGACTAGTAACAGGTATATCCTGATGGTGGTGGTCGTGCTGGGATTTACCTACTTGTTTTCAGTGAATGTTCTGGATGGTGCAAGTGGGGGTAGATGAGCTGATCTCTGTTTCATAAGGATGTGAATGTTAGTTAATTCATTCATTCAGTGAGCCCTAATGTATGCCAAGCTCCTGGGATTCAGAGAGGAGCTGAGCACATCCAGCATTCCACAGACCTCTCGGTTCATCTCTCAGCACTGTTAGTATTTAGAACCTTGCATAGCTGTCTTTACATGCCAGGCAACATTCTAAGCACCTTACCTACATCCACTCACATTAATCCTCACTATAGCTCTGAGGTAGGTGCCATTATTTGCCACATGTAACCAATGAGGCACAGAGAAGTTAAGTGGCTTTCTCGAGGTCACTTGGATAACAACTGCTTGTTACTGTGATTTGATGTTAATTAGTGATTCGAACCCTGGCAGTCTGGTTCTAGAATCCATGCTTTTAACCATGATGGCACAATGCCTTTCGTTCTAAAGCTCAAAGTACTTCTCTCAACAACCTATTGATATGCCATGGTAAGAGCACTGGTGTGGGGGTTGGGAGACTTGTTTCTAATTCCCAGGGTGACCTAATTAGTGGTGCGACCTTGAGTAAGTCACCTCATCATGACTTTGGAAAACAAGGAGGAGAAAGTAGATGGCCTTTAAATACCATGCAGCTCTGACAGCTGGTCTTTCTTCGTATTTAGAAGAACTATTTTTTAATGTACCTCCATCTTATCTTTCTAAGAGGACCCTGAACACCTTGGGAGACCATCATACGCATTGTTCATGTCACTCAATGCCAATTATCTGGCCTAACCCAGGAAATCCCACAATTCTCAATGAAAAACTAGCTTTACCTTGACTAGCAATGTGGAAGTAACTTTTATGTCTTTCAGTAAATTAAACTTTTACTAATTGGAGGATGTCAAGATCTAGTAGGAGCCACCTACCTGGGGTGCTGATGGGGATGACTGGGAGACCGTTTTCACCTGGGCAGGTGCATGAAGAGGTGAACCAGGGAACACACATCAATGGCCTTGGGGAATGTCAGCCTTTAGGGGTATAGCAATGGAGGAGGAGCACATGAAGGAGGTGAGAAGGAGTGGAAGGAGGTGGGAGGGTAACCAGAGGGTATAGGGACAAAGAAGTGAGGATAAGGGTGTGTTCAGAAGGAAAGTCATCATCTCCATACAATGTTGCTGAGAGGTCAAATGAAATGAAGACTGAGAAGGAAACACTGGTTTTGGCAACACGGAGGTGACCTTAATGGGAGCAGTTCAGCAGCGAAATGGGGTCAGTAGCCCAATTGGAGTGGGCTGAAGAGAAAATGGGAAGTGGCAGAGACAGTGCTGTTGCCCCATCCTTCTCTGCTCCCCAACACTCATAGCCTTGCTGTGCCTTTCCCCATTACCGCCCAATCTCCTTACCCTTGTGGCTCTGGACATGCACTATTTGATCTTCTCTACACCCCTCCCCAGCTTTCCAAACCCTAATGTTGCTGAGCAAAGAGGGCTCACTGCTCAAGGCACTGGAAGCCAATACTATAACACTAGGTTTTAGAGAAGAGAAGCTTTTTATTGCATGTCGACTCACAAGGAGACAGTGGTCAAGCCCGAATCTGTCTCTCTGTCCTCCCTTCAAGGCAGTATCTTCATTAGAAAAGGTTCAAGGGTTTAGTAGGTGATTGGTGGAGGGGAAGGGGAGGTCTGGAAAGTCCTTGGACCTGCTCCGTTTTCTCTTCATGCTACCTCATGGGTCACTGTGAAAATTCTTGGGGACTTAGTGTGAAACACATCATGGCAGGTCAGGCTGTGTCAACAGCAAGCTTGTTCTGGGCAGACTCCAGTAGGCCAGGCCATTTTGGTTCCAACTGATGTCAGCCCGTTTTTTCTTGATCTCACAAGTGCAGGGAATTTCAGCATTTCTGTACGTCGCTTCTCTTCTTATCTTCCATTCTGCAAGCTCAAGAGTATCTGTTAGTCATTGGTTCTTACTCTTTGGGGCACAGTTTCAGCTTCAGCTTTTCAGCAAGTTGTTTCTTGTCTGCTATCCTGTAAGCCCAAGGATGTAGTCATTGGCTTCTTTGACTCTTTGGGGCATGATTTCACTACACACTGTCTGGAACCCGCATTCCATCATCAGCAAAATCCTGTCCATCCTCCTAGCCTTCTCTGGAAGTCCCCTCCACTTTCTTATTCCTGCTGGAGACTCCCCCCATGAATGTAGCTTGCTCTGCAGCGGCCTCACCTGACAGCTGCTTTCCCTTCCATGCTGCCTTCGACTCTGGAGTCTGGAGAAGCAACTTGCTGCTCACTGTTGCTTCCAGACTGTGATTCCCCTCTCCTCTCCTAAAAATGCCAGCTGTGGAGCACATATCATCGGATAATACCACCTCCTACACCTGGTTGCCACTGTCTATAGACTCCCAAGTCACTTGCTTCATTCCAGGAAGAATGGGCTAGCCCTGGGTTTACTGCCTCTCTCCCCCCGTCTTCAGCTGCCAGCAGTTCTTGGTGATTTCAGTATCCCTGTAGGTGACCCATCCTGCACCCTGGCCTCTTGGTTCCTTAGCCTCTTCTCTTTTGTAACTTTGCCTTCGTGCTTCCTGCTGAGAGCTCACCTCCATGGTCTGCCTCGATCTTGTAATAACTGCACTGCTCCATACTCTTGGTTTCAAGCATCCCACTGTGTGACCACCCCTCTTTTCTCTCCACTTACTCCCTCTAGTGCTCAATTCCCAAGATTCTTTTTTTTTTTTTTTTTTTTTGCGATGGAGTCTCGCTTTTGTTGCCCAGGCTAGAGTGCAATGGCGCGATCTTGGTTCACTGCAACCTCTGCCTCCCCAGTTCAAGTGATTCTCCTGCCTCAGCCTCCTGAGTAACTGGGATTACAGGTGCCCACCACCATGCCCAGCTAATTTTTTGTATTTTTAGTAGAGATGAGGCTTCACTATGTTGGTCAGGCTGGTCTCGAACTCCTGACCTAAGGTGATCCACCCACCTTGGCCTCCCAAAGTGTTAGGTTTATAGGCATGAGCCAACACACCCAGCCAAGATTCTTTAATCTCACTGCATCTGCAAGACCTGGATGCTATTACCTTTTCACTGTCCCCTTCCCAAGTCATTATTCCTCATCTTATCATACTGAATCCATTCTAAGCACCAAACACATTTTCCAGATAAAATAGTGACCTTTCATCTGAGGTCTCCTCCTCTTCCTCTTCTTCCTCCTTCTTTCTTCTGAGGGAGTTTCATTCTTGTTGCCCAGGCTGGAGTACAATGGCGTGATCTTGGCTCAATGCAACCTCAGCCTCCTGAGTAGCTGGGATTACAAACACCTGCCACCACACCTGGTTAATTTTTTGTATTTTCCGTAGAGATGGGGTTTCACCATGTTGGGCAGGCTGGTCTTGAACTCCTGAGTTTCAACCAACTTCTAAGATAGAATGAATCATCCACAAAGGGCAAGAATGCTGGTGCTCAAGCTGGTTTCTAGAGAACTTCATGCTTCACCATCATTGTAGTCTGGTTTTCCCCCTCAACTTCGTTGCTCCTCTGTTGCTTTGTTACACGTTGCCTGGCAGAACTTCAGCCCTGCTACATCCTGCTTGGCGCTATTCTTCATGTACATGTGGGCAGGTGACCATTGCTATAGTAAAGCTCACAACCACGCTGATCCATCTCACTGTGAATTGACGACTGCCTCCTCCAGTTGGCCCTTAGTCCTGCACAGAAATCTTACTATTTTTCCGTTTTCTCTTCACTCTCACACTCCTCTAGAGATTAGGTTACACGCTTTTCCCTTAACTCTCAAATCCCATCGTTTCCTGCCGGCTTGCTCCTAGCTCATGACTATGATTGCCTTCCCATTTCACTGGGAAAATAGCGGCAATCAGGAGAGGCGGGTCGGGCACGGTGGCTCAAGCCTGTAATCCCAGCACTTTGGGAGGCGGAGGTGGGTGGATCACGAGGTTAAGAGATCGAGACCATCCTGGTCAACATGGTGAAACTCCATCTCTACTAAAAATACAAAAAATTAGCTGGGCATGGTGGCGCGTGCCTGTAATCCCAGCTACTCAGGAGGCTGAGGCAGGAGAATTGCCTGAACCCAGGAGGCGGAGGTTGTGGTGAGCCGAGATTGCGCCATTGCACTCCAGCCTGGGTAACAAGAGCAAAACTCTGTCTCAAAAAAAAAAAAAGAAAAAATCAGGAGAGGCAGGCTCCATCCCCACACTGACCACCCGCTGCATCTG